AATATTCTTCTATAGAGAAAGTAATTTATCTAATACTTTTTTTGAGAAACAGTTCTCTCAGTCTTTCAATTATTCTAATAAGTTGCTAATCAGCTTTTCATTAGACTCATTCTCAGCTTCTACTAAACTTCACTTCTTCTCAAGTTGTTTATCAATTTCATATAAATTGATTATGAAGGCTATTGAGTTTTTATTCTTCATATAATCATGAAAGAAAATAATTTTAATAAAGTTTATATTTATCATCTGTGATACTATCTTCTCTCAAATCAATCTCTATCTTATCATAGATATCATAACTGAGCTAATTCTTTTCAATCTGCAGAGCTGAGTCTGATGCTTCTATCTGATTTTCTTGTTCAGTTTGATTTCTTTTTATTTTACATTTATCTGATACTTAGATTTAGAGTTTGAGTACTTCAGTATTGATCAGAGTACTACCTTCAACATTAACTCTATCATCTGTTCAAAGATAAATCATTTACTCAGTCAAATCAAATGTTGATTTTTAACATCAAATCATATATTCTATACTATCAATCACTTTTGTCTCAAGATGATAGAGTGCTGATCTAGATCTATTATCAATAGAAGAATATTCTGAAATCTTCAGTCATTCATTCAGAGGTTTAAGATCAATATATAATCTATCATCTTATTATAAATATTATTATATCTTTTTATATAGTATTTGAATGAGAGTTCTTGAAACTTTTTATCTAAGAATCTCATCAATTCAATAATATATCAGATATCAATAAAATTTATATTATTTACTTCAGTGTCAACAAGAGAATTTATAAAAATAGCAATTTTACTATAGATTAACTTGATTGATACACTAAAGCTTTTTCTTTTAACTAAATTCTTCATATCAAACCTCTTACAAACTATTAAACTATCTGAGATAAAGTCTTCTTTTAAACTTACTTTTTTTTTAAATTCACTAAAGATTCAGAAGTTTTATTCTCTATGAGTTTAGTGATCATCTACTAAAACTTTTATTTTATAAAGTAGTTTCTTACAATATTATCTTTCTCCTTGCAGTAGTAGCACTAAATGTTCGAATGACTGCTTATAGTTTTCTTTATGATAGAGAATTTTATAATGAAGATGTCAGAGAAAATATGACTATTGAAGATCTATAATATATTTTACTTGAGAGTTTTAAATTCATTTCTTTATAAGCTCTTTGACTTCTGAATAATATTGATTGTCTGAAGAATGTGAACTGTATAAGTACAGATCTTCTAAAACTCAGCATATATATTGATAATTATATTAACTACTGCTATCATTTTTTGAAAATTAAAAAATAGCTTATCATTGAAGTCTATTTTATAATCTCTTTTGATAATCTTGATCTCACTCATTAGATGTAAGAATTTTGTAACTAATTTATGATAATTATTCTCATTGTGTATAATCAACTTGTAATAATCATTTTTAATATTTTGCAGCTTGTTAGCATTTTCATATATTGACTTGAGATGCTTAAATATCTCTTCTATGATTTATTATTGCTCAGAGTGATTTTTTTTTATATGAGATGTAATATAATATGCTGTGTTCTCATTAGTTCAATTTTCAATGTATATAATTCTAATGTATTTAGTAGAGTAATGATTGATGTTCTCTTATAACTTATTTTTCATTCAGAAGTGTTAATGTTTAAATTTCAACTTCTTGCTGTCAGTGAGATGTTTTGAATCATCAATCTTGACTAATCTTCTGACAGTCTTAAAGAAGATGACATCTCAACTCACTACTTGATTACTAATTGTTATGCAGATCAGAGTATGACTAAGTTCATCATATTCAGCAATTAATTCATCAATCTGACTTTACTTAACAGCAGCCTGATTGGTAGTGTTGTTTCATTTCATTCTCAGATGTGTGATTGTATCTCTCAATATTTTTTCATCATCAAAAATGTCATCAAAGATCATCATTAATTTATTATAAATATAGTTACTATCTAAATGAATTACTTTTCTAAATTTCTTAATTAAGATACATAATTGATTGATTAGTCTTGTTAGAATGTATCACCAGTTCTTTTGACTTCTTTCAAGGAGTTGAGAGTCTGCAATGATTATTTGATGTTGAATTGAGCTGTTATCTTTAACAGTTGATCTGATATATTGTCAGGCTCTCAATTAATAGATTCTAATTCAACTGAAACACTTGAGTTTTTCACTGAAACCTGAGTGAAAAGATAGAAAAGAACCTTAGTATTATGTTAGAGAGTAAATGTGAGCTGTCTGAGATAGAATCTCTTTGTGTTGCTAACTGCTATATAATGAAATATTAAGATTGGTGAGGAAAAAATGTGCCAGGGTCTGCTCAGATTATAACCAGCCCACATGATCATGTGACCTGATCACGACCAATTCGCTAGTTACATGTGGAGGCGTGGTCATGTGATGGAGATAAACCTAGCCCCGGTGCTGAGCCTAACACTTAATAATCAATTAAAATAAATTCTCAATTTTTATTATAAATTACAATAATTTTCTTAAACTGTATAATTTTCTTTATAATAATTTATTTAATAATTTATTTGAAATTAATTAAAAACTTTTTTAATTATAATTATATATATTTAATACTTTAATATTACATTTCTCAATAATTATAATTAATTAAATAAATAAAATAACTAGTACTTAATCACTCTTAAAATCAAATTATTATGATGCAACTGCTTGTTTATGAATTAAGATTGATTCATTTCATTATACTCTAAAGATTGATTTATTCTGACCTTAATCATATTCAGTTACTTATCTGATTCAATTTTTAATTATACTTGCTTCAAAAATTAATTTGATCTGATTATTAACCATCTCTATATATTTAGCTGCTTATTCATTTCACATTCTAATTCTCAGTTTAATATTCTTATTATAGCTGTCTATTTAAATAGATAAATTGAAGTTATTATTTTATTATCATTCAGACTCTAATTGAGCTATAATATAAATCAGAGTTTTATTTATATAAGTATAAAAATACTCAAAGTATAAAAAATAATCTGAAAACTATTATTTTTAATCAATTATTTATATATAATATTTTATCTTACTTTTATAATATTTGTAAAGTTAACTGACTCAATTGATTTCAATTTTTTCTTTTGTAAACTTAAATATAAAATTCTTTATAATTTGAGATAAAAAAGTAAATTTACAACTTAATAGATATTTTATATATAGAATAAATTGATTTTCTTGTGAATTAATGAGCTTTTTACAGTATTTGAAAATAATTTTAAAACTTAATTCTACTTTATATTTATAGTAGTGTATTATGATTATTTATTGACTTTGAAATTTTTAATAATGATATTATAATTTGAAAACTCTTGTGATTTTAAATCTTCAATAGCTAATTAAATAGCTTCTTCATTGATCATGCTGTTGAGATTGAAAGTTGAAGAATAATATATGTTAAGATTACTTACTGAGTTATAAACTTCATTACTAATAATTAGGTAGAGAATTGTATGCGTCTTCAATGAATCTGATATATTAAAAATGAATCACTGACTCTCTGAACAGTGAATCAGATAGCTAACTTTAGAATTTCTATTAGTTTTTCCTTCTTCATGAATACACTCAGATATCATCTATCTAATCAAGGAAGTGGCGATGTCTTTCATAGAGATAATCATAGAGATGATCATCTCATCATTTATATAATAGTCATCGCGTCATTTCTTACAAGGTAAGATAATTATCTCATACAAAGGTAAGACAGTCACCTCATCATCAGAGTAAATATGAATATCCTTATCAGAGTAGTCGCAGCGCAGTAGAGAGATAGATTTTAAGATGTAGAATATTGATGTCAAAAAGATGGTTTTAACTAAATTCATGATCATAATATAGAACTATAATAGAAAATGATATCACTGAATCAATCATTCTTGTTGATACGATTAATCAAAAAATCAAAATATAGATAAAAAAAACTTCAAGAAAACTTCCCTATTTTAGAGAATAATCTCATTGAAATTCACTTTTTTAAAGTGATATTTTATAAAATTTCATCTTCTTCATGTGTTGTTAAGATTCAGAAACACGTCAAGGACTCTGTCAAATAGGGAGTGTAGGTCTCCTGATATTTAAAAATAAGTAAGATGATATATAGATCAAATGAAACAAACGGTTGATTTCGACAAGATAACTTACGAATTGGCCGCGTTTGGGCGCAAAACGGGTCTCATAACCTGACAGAAGCTTGGTTGATTTGCAGAGTTTGCTCCTACATGCCAATAGCTCACAGATCTCCAGGGCGGTGGCAGAATTAGCTGTGGTGGGGTTTCCTTCGCCACACTTACATCACGTGATATATTCTCCATCTTATAACAAGGACAAGTGCCGCTCTGTCCAATCATGCAAAGACTCTATATACCACTAGACCTGATTAGACCTTAGCGTCATCGCCGTGCATTGCCAGAGGTAGGGATAAGCTGCCAGACTCAACCCACCAACGAACAAACTAACACCTTCAGAGAAACACAACATACCCCACACACACAGAGAGAGAGAAACAAAAATATAGACAAGATAGTGCAAAGGAAAGGAAGTAATTGGATTGTTTGCCCTATTATTATTTAGTATTGGGGGATGTCCGGCTAAATACAGACAACACACGCTGGGAAATAGTAAGTGATTGGTTATTCCACCACGACCAGCAACCCCAGTCCCCGACTCCCGCTGTCAAGCTGATTCTGTTCTGCTTGGTGCACCCCTGAGTGAAAGTGGAAAACAGCAAACGTTTGGAAACAAAATTGAAACTAAAACAAGAAATCAAGAGAGGGAGTGGACGCGTTTATCGCGGGAGGAGTCGTCATCTTGATTCTAACCGATCTCTTTTACGTACGAACAGGCCGCCATCCGTCCCCCAATCACACCTTCTCGATCCCCCTTATTCTGTGCTGCCTGTGAGGACTTTGGTTCGATCGTCCTGAATGCCGTCCTCCGCCCGACTTTATGTCTCATGGAACCGCTGGACATCAGTCGGGAATGCGAACACAACGGTTGGCTGTCCTTCTGGGGATTGTCTGCCTCGTTGGGATTACGTTAATGCTTCTGGGCAACCCAGCAGCCAAGAGAATTGGGCAGAGCACCCAAAGAAAAAAATTATTCATACCGACATCTAATCACCCTGAAATTTCTGAGTCGCAGCAAAAACAACAAAATCAACAGCAGCAATCTCCCGAGCGCCCTGTCCACACCGACAATGCCTCGAAAAACCTTCACCCAATCGTCCAGCTGCAAAACCAAGCAAAGGAGAACTTCGATGATGTTCGAGGGAGACAATCGAAGACGCTCAAGGATGCTGTGGGCGAGTACCGTCGTCGCTACAAGATGCCTCCCCCACCTCATTTCGATGTATGGTTCAAATTCGCACAGCAGCACGGTGTGCAATTAATAGATGAATTCGATTCGATCTATCACACGCTTCTTCCCTTTTGGGGTCTACAACCAAAATTAATCCGGGCGCGGGCAAGGGAGGCTATTGGATTCGATAACGCGTTCATCAGTCTTTTGATTCGGGATGGGAAGGTTGCCAGAATCGACGGCGGTGGGGAGAGTAGGGAGTGGCAGCGGATTGCGTTGGAGGGGATGTTGAAGTCGTTCGTCCAATACTTGCCCGATATGGACCTTGCCTTCAACATTTATGATGAACCTCGAGTTGTAATACCCAGTGAAGACCTTCAGCGCTTGGTGGTTCGTGCCATGGATGGTGCACTTCCACGAGCCCTTGAGAACCCTTCCCCGAATAACTCGTGGTCTGGACGGCCTGACGACGTGAATAAAGGTGACAGAATCGATGAGTTTAGGACTACGCGATTCAATCGATTTGCTCACCAGCCAACGTGGACGAATTCGCGCATGTCGTGCCCTGTGGATAGTCCCGCAAGAAATCTCGATGAAAACGCCCGTGATGATATGAAAGCTTATTCCAACACAGAACTTGGATTCCTTTACAACATTACTGCCTTCACAGATATATGCCTATCTCCTTCACTTCGACACACGTTCGGGTTCTTTGACCGTCCCAACGCTCTCGATCTTGTCCATGATTTATTCCCGATTTTTTCTCAAAGCAAAGTGTCCAGTTTCCAGGATATCATGTATCCAAGTCCCTGGTACTGGGCCGGGAAAGTTCTCTACGATGCTGAAAAGGACGTCGCCTGGTACGATAAACTGGAACAAATATACTGGCGCGGATCGACAACGGGCGGCTTTTCACGAGCAGGAGGCTGGCGCCGACAGCACCGCCAAAGATTCATTAAAGAAATAAACGGATGGGACAGTGCGAAAATCTACGAAAGGAACGCCGACTCCGGTGTCTGGGAGCTCAAGGAAGTCTCCCGACACGCACTCAAGGACCTCTTCAACGTCAAATTCTCCCATATCGGCCAATGCGACCCAGAAGACTGCAAGGCGCAGTCCGAGTTTTTCGACGTGGTGGAATCAGCCGATCAGCAAGATGCGTGGAAGTACAGGCATCTCGTTGACATTGATGGGAATGCGTTTAGCGGGCGCTACTACGCTTTTCTACGCAGTAATAGCTTGGTTTATAAACTTGCGCTTTTCCGCGAGTGGCATGATGAGTGGCTACGCGCCTGGGTGCACTATGTGCCCCTTAGCTTGAAGGGGGATGAACATGTTGAGACTGTGCGATTCTTTGCTTTGGATGATGAAGGGCGGGAGATTGCGCAGCTTCTGGCGAAGCAGGGGAAGGAGTGGGCGGGTAAGGCGCTACGGAATAATGATCTTGAGGTTTGGTTTTTTAGGTTGTTATTAGAGTGAGTGGTTATTTCTTTTTTGGCTTTTCGATGACGTTATCAACTCTGCCCTGGCATCTCCCCTTCGGCTTTCATTGTTTCTTTGGACTACAGAAGATAAACTTATAACTAACTGGTATGATTACAACTATTAGATATGGCAGAGTTGTAGATGATAATCGGGAGAATATTGGATTTTCTCTGAACTGATGTGACACACGAGCAGGACCTGGTGTTTCGGTAAAGGTATATCTCGACATATACACATATATCTCATTTCTATTTGTTTCCAACGTCCATGTGTTTGTTTGTATTACATATTTTCTTATTAGTCTTTTCTGCCATTGTTAATCAATTGTTTTCATCAGGAGTCCAGTTCAAGTTTTCTTTTCAATTGGTTGCCAACGTTCCAAATTTTGTTCCTATCGTACCCTCCTTTTTATTTTTCATAATTCCTCATATTATGTGGTGTCACTGAATTTTTGATGCATATATAGTTGTCTTGAATCTTTTCTTGTATAAATCTTCTTTGATTTTACCTTCTCATCTCACTTGCCATTGAATTGGAAGCATCACTGTCACTTTTATGTTTACTACTTTTAATTTCTCATCTGTTGTGCTCTGAAAGTGTAGGTGGAAAAAGGAGAGAGAGAGAATAAACACCATTCCTCTTGCAGGTACTTCTTTTCTTTCCAAGGAGCCTATCTATTCACTAGGAAATCTTCGACATGTGAGTTATCTCTTAGGGTGGGGTGCCAAATGTTCGATAAACTTCCAGCCCGGCTTTTGAGGTTCTCTGTCATTTAATAGGAGAGATTGATTTTTATGAACACCAAAAATGTTGTTACTCGCCTTAAAACTAACCTTGTTATGTTCACGATCTACAACATAGCAATATGACGTCATCATTCGCGATAAAACTTAACGTTGAGTTCAACTCGGACCAACTCACCCAACAAACGCCTTGGCCACCCTTCTCCCCATAATTGGGCTATCTATCAATCTCAACCTCTCTCCTCATGTGTCAATTAAATATAACACGATTCTCATATTTCCGACACTCTCGTGAAAACCCAGTTATGGACTCTTGTCGCGTTCGAAAGATGCAGTTATCTCAACTGCGGGCCGAAGGGTGAGATAGTACGTCTGTTCCATCCCGCAAAAGCCAGGGGTGAGTTAACTGGCCAATATATCATCGAAATTTAAAGTCACTGGATGAGAATCTTATTTTGAAACTAGGCATCAGCGTTGCTCTTTCTTGACATCGAAGAGTTACGCGCTGAAGTTGCAAGCCAAACGCATAGGCAAGGCCTAAAGCAGATCTCTCCGCGTTTCAAGCTTCCTCGGCCAATCGTCTATAGTGAAAAGGAACTTTGAATTCTGGAAGTAAAAGGGAGTTTTCTGTTGATAAATAGGGGCAGGCCATCAGGAAGCAGGGGGTGGGACTTTCTGGCTGAATAGTTGCCTGTTGCGACCAAAGCTATTGTAAAAGGAAATACTTAATCATAACCAGGTAGACGAGCTTCCTTGTGGCTGATTTTGCTCGCATACGAAGCTATTTGGTATCCTTCTCTTTTCCCCCTTTCATGCAAATCTACTTTTTGATTTCTTTTTCTTCCTCTTGTTTTATATACCCCACCGAATACCTCAGATACTCATTTGGTTTGTTTTGAATCCAGCTGACAACCCTCAAACTATTTATGCCCCCACGCTTGAGAAGTTGAAAAATAAGGAGAACAAAGTAACGCTTTTACCTATCCGAGTGCCAGCTTCAGGCAACCATAAATCATGGAGGTGCCCTCTACATTTATCAGGGGTATTCTCTTAATTTCCATTGCTTTCTACGGCCTCTTTACATTTTGCATGTATTGTGCCTTTTTCATCTGGTCAGGAGTTGTCTTCCAGCGGACGACGGAGAAGCGGAGATTGGAGCTGTTGCTAGGTAGGAGGCCTAGACTACCCCCAAATCTCAAATTTATATCATATCCGTACGGGTTAGGCCCGTTCGAAATAACCAACTCGTCCAGTTACGAGTGGTTTCTTCATGTTCAAGAGCCAATATTCTAACCCTATAATAATAAAACTACCATAGCAAAGGACCGCCTTTGGAACCTCTCGAAGCAATGGGAAGGTTTCTCCCACCACTTCCTAACCCTCAAGAATGGCTTCAAGTTCCACTATGTCTCCAATGACAACCTCTTGACCATGGAAAACACACCACAAACAATAGCAACCAGAAAATCAAAAACAAGAAAGCCGCTTGTCATTTTTATCCACGGCTTTCCGGACAGCTGGGCGATTTGGCGCCACCTGCTGGTCTCGTCAGTGCTTTGGGAGAAGTCTTCTATTGTTGCTTTTGACCTACCAGGATATGGCGGGAGCGACTCGTTAAAGAAATACGGTGCGACGGAGGTTTTGGAACATGTTGCTGAGTTTATTCTTTCTATCAGGCGCAAGTATGGGATTAATGTCAACGGTAATGGTAATGGTGATAAGGTTACTGATTCAGATGCGGGCGCGGGCGCGAGCGGGGATAAGAAGCAGAATCCAGTAAAGGTTATTCTTGTTGCACGTGATTGGGGTGCTGTGATAGGTTTTCGTCTCGCATCGGAAGCCCCACAATTGGTCGACAGGTTTATCTTGACGAATGGTCCCTTGGTAAGTTTTGATGATTTGAACCGAGTCTGCTGTTTACTTTCTATTTTCGGTGGGCTCATGCGTCGTTTTCTTAGCTACCATTGGCGAGAACAAATATTTCGTTTGCATGGAAATCCTCGGGAAAAATGTTTATGACATTTCTGCGAAACCCATTCCACTCCCATAGGCTTCTCCTACGGGCTATATCTAGGCTGAGCCCGTTATTACGCCAACTGTTCCTCTCAGGGTACATTTTTGTGTTTCAGCTTCCCATGCCCATAGTGCGTTACACGGGCAGCGGTGGCAATTATTCCTTGTTAAAGGCGATCCACCAGCGGGCGGCAGGGAAAGTTGTCGAATTCACTGTCCGAGACGCCGAAGAATCAATGGCGAGTACTTTGGGTCCTGGCAGCACGGAATGCAACACTACAACAAAGGATGGTGAAGGGTACCCACCCAGTGTCTTGCGGCGCAGCAAACTAGGAAACTTCAGTGACATGATCTCCTATTACCGACATGGTGCTGCAGTGAGTACTTGGCACAAATCTCTTGAGACAATTTCCGCACTGTACGGGCTTGGGGAATCTCGACGGACGAGCAGCGGGATGCCGCTCCAGGACGGGCCCCAAGGAGCACTGAGGGCGAATGCGACAATTGTATGGGGAGAGCATGATAGGGCGCTGGACCCTCGGGTTATTCTGGAAGGAATCGCGGACTATCTAGTACATGGCAGTCAGCTGGTTATATTGCCGCGGACGGCACATTACACACCAATGGAGGTGGAAGGGCGCGCGGCTTTGGAGAAGGCTGTGGAGTGGGCTGTTTGTGGTGAGCATGGGGATGTTGGTGCGGCAATTGCTGACGTGTATCCTGGCGCTGTTGTGACGGTGAGGAAATGAATGGATGGATGGAAGGGGGATGGAAGGAAGGATTTGGTGATATCAAAGTTGGATTGTGTCACGCCATGGTGGTTTTGATCTGGAATGACTGGTAGAATGCATTTTCTTTTCCACGTGCTGCCAAAATGGATATCGATCTCGTATGGGAAAATGGGTGTCTATACATGTGGGACGGATTCGAATCTGTGTCAGAAATTGTATCGGCAACAACACGAAGCCGAAGTCATGATGGATATGTTGATTAGGTTACCTTTCATTGTTTGAACGCGCGCGTGCTGGAGTTGGTTATATGATATCAGTCCTGAGAATTGTGCTATGTTGATGATATTTCCTTTCGATTGCTCTATATATCCATGTCCGCCATTACTTGACATGGATATTTTTATTTACCTTGGCTTTCGGCATAACGAATAGCAATATTTCTGCTATATGCGGAGCTGTAGCGGATGGAGAAGTATTTATCGAAGTAAAGAATTTTACTTGGTTTCAAAGTATTCGTCCGTCTATGTATAATCAAGCAACACATTTAACATCGATCGGTTAGGTTAGTAGACTTGCAGCGATAACCGTGGCTGTACTTAAAGTTAAAATTTTTAACTCTCGCGCCGCTTGACCGACCCTTGTTCGAAGCAAAACAAAACAAACCAGGATTTTGAAAATTTCCCCACTCCATTTTGTAACTAACTAATAATAATAGTTACTCTCAAAACTTCAACAACCGCAGCATGGCTCTCTCACGGCCATTCTAGGTTTATCATTCCACATCATAATAGTCAATTGACCACGGCTAATTGACCACTTGCTCCTAGATATACGCTTGTAGTTATATCTCAGACACTTACTGGCGAGCTGAAGCTCCCCGCTTGGCCCCTGTGGGTCATCGTACCGGAGTACGGAGCAAACTCGTTCAAGCTTGAGCTTATATATATGTATAAAGACGGGAACTTTATTGTTTCGAAATCTTCCTTCTCGTTGCCTCCTCTCAATCTCGCATTCCCCTCTCCGACGTCAATTACGGCTGGCTCCACCGCTACCATGGCAGATCCAGGTGAAGCCGTCTACTGCACGGTAAGTTTGACATGGAAAATTGCAGGTACCTGATGGACCAAAACTCACACTGTGACCTAGATGCTTCTCAGCGACAATTATCTCCCAGGTAAACACTAACTTATCTCATGACCTGACCAGACCCGCCGTCTGCAATGCACATTTAACGTTTCTCTTTTGCTTACAACATCATTGTTGCTTTTGCTGCTTCTTCTGTAGGTGCTTTGGTATTGGCCCATTCGCTGCGAGACAATGGCTGCAAAGCAAAACTTGCCGTGCTGGTTACGCTGGACAGCCTCAAGGCTTCGACAATTGACGAGCTAAAAGTACATCATTTTCCATTTGCTCAGCATTCTCATTCCAGTTCTTCATAACAAATCTATGGTGGGTTAGCTAACATCTGCTAATTTTGAAACAAAACAATAAGACTATCTACGACGATGTAGTCCCTATCAACAGAATTGTAAACCACTGCCCCGCAAATCTGTATTTGATGGACAGACCAGACCTAGCTTCGACATTCTCAAAAATTGAGCTCTGGAGGCAAACCCAATACCGACAGATAGTATACATCGATGCAGATGTAGTGTCCCTCCGAGCTCCCAATGAGCTCCTCACAATTAATACCAACTTCGCTGCTGTGCCTGATACCGGCTGGCCAGACTGTTTTAATACAGGCCTCATGGTGCTCCGTCCCAGTATGCATGATTATTACTCCCTCCTTGCTCTTGCTCAGCAGGGAGTCAGCTTCGACGGAGCAGACCAGGGCTTACTGAATATACATTTTAAGAAATGGGATAGACTGAGCTTCGTGTACAACTGCACGCCAAGTGGTCATTATCAATACGTTCCAGCCTTCCGACATTTTGGCAGCACAATTAGTCTGGTGCATTATATAGGATCACAGAAACCATGGAATCTCCCAAGGCAGTTGTTCCCGTCGGAGAGTCCTTATAATCAGCTTTTGGGGAGGTGGTGGGCGACGTATTTTAGACATTATCGGCCGGTGGTATGCATGATATGAATACCCATTCATTGGTACACCTGATAGGGAAGTTAACGGGAAATACTAATTACTGCGTCTAACTAGGTCAAACCGGAATCCAAACTTTCGTCGAGAGCTGACATTGCGAAGCATGGTTTGGGGCAGCTCCACGCAGAAGGGATCGTTCATGAGCCAACTAAGCCGCCGGAGCGAACGCATGCCCCTGAGATACCACATGCTCAAGCTTATACCTACGATCATCCTCATGCTTGTGCTCATTTCGCTGCCTCTCCCACTATGTCTCCGGCTCCGGCTTCGGCTCCCCTCACAGCTGAAGCTAAAGCTTTTGTAGAACCACAAGCTTATGGAAACATCCAGCAATTTAATATCCCGCATGGTTTCCCACCCTCTCAAGTCCCTGAAACTTCTCACTCTGTTCATAATGATACCATATTGAATAGCGATGAAGTTGCAGCCACACCAGCTAGTCCTCCCCAGCGAGATAGAATCCCTATTATAAGCCAGAATTTTGTCGTCAGTGCTGTCCCACAATACGTTCGTGGTGAAGAGCATGTAACTGCCTACCGACACTTTCCACGTCGTCCATTTGATTCTCCTTCCACATTGAAAGAAGAATCAGTCCCAGGAACCTCTCCCGTTACTGGCGTACCAACCCTACCAACACAACAACAATTTCCACAAGAGCTAACTGAGCCACTAAAACAGCTAGAGATTGGGCAAATACCTGTCCTCTTCCAAGAGCCCGAGCCACCCAGAGCAGCTCCAGAGCCGTCGTTCTCTTCCCCAAGGATGCAATGGGATCCTTCTCGGTATGCACCACTGTATCTAAAAAATATATCTATATGGACAAAATCAAATAGGCCCAAATATGTAGTTACACGTGCTGATTAAAAAATGACAGAGAACCACCTCCTGTAGATTCCAAACCGGAGGCATTCAGTTTACCCTCACACACCTACACGATGTCACAGGACACGGGGCTTTTCCAGCCTCCGAAGTCATACCCAGAGGCCCCGAAAGATATGTACTATAAAGTTCCCCCAAAGCAACCAAATACACAGCGCCTGGCCCACATTTTTCCATGGGAGGCCTACGCCCCGAAACCCACTCGCGTTTTTCTAGACGAAGAAGCAGGAACAGGCATAGTTGCGGTATCCCATGAGAAACTATTAAGTGAAGTCCCAAATAAAAGAGATACGGCATTGGGCGCACCACGAGAAGAATCAGCAGAACCGCCACCAACATCTGAACATCTTTGGAAAGGCTACATCCGCTCAAACGCCTGGGACGAAGTCCCGGAAATTGAGCAATACATGCGCACCGTCCAAAAGCCCCGGAGAGAAAAAGTTCAAGTTTTGAAATCCGGATTGGCTAGGTCTAGCACAACGAGGGGCGACTTCGAAACCGAAATCACCGGGAGAAAGCCCAGTGTGAGACTGACAAGTTTCCCCACTGAGACAGAGCGGCCCAGCTTCCCTGTGACCCCAGCAACTATCAAGCGATCTCATTGGCCCATAGGACAACAACGAGAAGAGAAGTCTAAGTACGGAAGAGAGAAAAGTCAAGGAGGGTATGGTGGTGATAATTTACCACCCGCCACCGGTGTTCCGTTGCAGGAGAACTGGGTGCGTTTCACGATCGACGCGTTCGTAAACCTCCTTGGAATCACCTACTTATACTGGAAATATACAGAATCCTCTGGAACGCCTCGAGGAGCTGCAACGACGCCAGTCCTTGTTTCTTGACGTGATTCATGACGGTCCACCGGAGTTTGAGGTGAGAGAGATCCCTAGACGGAGAATGCCAGGGGAATAATAAACGGGGCAGAAGGATTATCGGCAGCGACGGAAGGTCGCCGTTGCGGTTGCGACTTTCATGAGCCTTAGTTGCTATTCGCCACGAGAGATGGGCGACGAGGGCCCATAAAAATTGATGTTAGTTGTGAGGTGGAATGAAGAATATACTACATACTTGATATATTGACCTCATTTCGTCTTCATTTTCATCTTTTCCCTGACCACTTCTGTGAAATGCGGCAGCATATTCTGCGGAATCACATATTTCATTTTGTTCCCCTTTTCTGCTTTTGGCCCAATTTCTTGAATGCCTGTCAAATTTTGTCTCTATTTATTTCCCTTTCTTCCTCCCGTCACTATTTTAGCGTTTTGAGCCGATTCCTATATTTAATATCATATCATGCCTTTCCCGAGAAGTAGTACTCACCATCTCATTTAGCCTTGCCCTTTCATTATTTGATAATAATTGACTTTTTCTGTACCTTGAATGCAGCTCTTTCTTTTTCTCATGCCAATTTTCATTTCTACCAATTTTTGCATCTCTCATGTCTTTGCATCATCTTCTTGCTATTTAAATTGACTGTCTGTACATCTAATAATAATACACTAAATTATTTCAAGTCAATTCTTGACTTATATATAAGGATGTAAATAATATCACATCTAAAATGTTTTCATTCTTTCCATCTTTTTAAACATCTATACAATTTTCGTCCCGGGATAGAAATATTTCCAATAAACTATAAGCCTCCTTCTCACAGCCTCCTACGCCCCAAATCTCTAGATCTCAATCGTGAAGGAAAAAATATAGTATCCCAAGGTGTATCCAAACCGTGTCGTCCAAGGGTACATACAACAATCTCATCTCATAATCACATCCCTCTCAACAACCTCTTAATCACCCAACTTCCCACATCTACCCCATAAATCCCTACAGCTTGCACCACAAACTTCCTCGCATACTCCACATGACAATAAACCACCGCCAACAAACCCATAACCAACGAAACATGTAAAAGATAAGCTGTACCTCTTGACACTGATCCCGAGGCCCTTTTACTAGACCCCCTTCCCTTCACCCATCTACTCATGCCCACCACAACCCCCATGACTAGGATTCCTACAATACCGAACTGCACATCAGCGTCCTTCAATCGTTTCTCCAGCAACCCATTTTGCACAAAGAACATTATGTAGAGGAATGCATGCAGTGAGAGGAGTGTGGGAATAACGAGGCGGCCGAAGAGCCGGTGGTAGGGGGTTAGATAGGTTTGGGGCAGGTGTAGAAGTCGTGACAGGACCTGAGTGAAAGGATTGAAAGTTGGGGAGAGTTTGGGGGAGAGAAGAAGATGGAGAGGAATTGTGGCCATGGCCGTTTGGGCGATGGATTTAGTAAGATGAAGGTAGTCCTGCTTGGATGTTAGATCATGTTCACACATAACTAACCGAGGATTTTGAGGCAGAGGTTGCGATATTAAATGCGAGAAGAGAAATCAAGGAGGCCCCCTAAAAAGGGGGAGGGGATGTACATACCGTCGCCCGTTTTCCAGGCGGAAAGCGCCAATAACCATACCAACCATCCCACCGCAACAAGATAATGTCTCCTCATCTCCGTCGCGCCATGCATGAATGGAGAATCTAGCCATGCCGATAATAGCGTAGATCTCCTCTCGATACCAATCGTCCCGATTTTGGTTGTTGCAAGTCTATAAACACTGAGCAGCAGGAGCAGAATGAGAGCAGATAGCTGTGCGTAGTTTCCACGGAGCGAAAGGAGTGCCCGCCGCTCGCGAAGCTGCTGAGATGTCAGGGAGGTGTAGCGGTAAGGCCATAGTGATTGAGGCCATGGGGAAGATAGAGACGGAGACATGGAGTCCCTTGTTCTCCTGCTGGGTACGAATGGGGCGGGGCTGAGCGGAATGTCAATTAGCGAAGACAAAATGACAAATTTTGATGTAGTAGACGAAAGAAAGGAAGGGCAAGAAATATATAATAGGAAGATCTATATCTATATGCGTAGGTCTCTGTCAATGTTAGCTACCGTCCAGACGGAGAATCTGTCAACAAGAAAATTTCAAGGACAGAGATATCCGCTCGACGGCGTAAATGCACAATGGCTGGCAAAATACTCCAAACTGAAGTTTTTGGTATATCAAAAACACATCTGGGAATCTCACGCACTGTCGCTGTCTTCAAATGGGATTAAAGGGCTGAGATTTTCTGTAAAGGCGTCAAGTTTCCGGGATGACGGGGGACAGTACGGCAGAAAACCTAAGTCTCTAGTTATCTCAATTTGAGAGCACAGTGATTCCGCAGTTTGGTTAGACAGAACCTCGTGAAAGATATCCTATGTGAATAAGATGAGAAACATAGATACAAATTATTACTGTGCACTATGTAATGTGGAGGGAACGACGGTCCCAAATGAATGTTTAAGAAACAATGTAAATAAAAGAATATCAAGAAAATGCACTGGACTTGTGTTGAAATTTCCTAGCGACAGGAACAAGAGGTTTGAATGGAGAGTAATTTAAATATTTATCCCTCAAGCTGGTTGGAGACCCACAAATTATTCGCGTCCAGGGGCATTCGGATCAGATCTCCTATCCAAATTCCAACTCATCTTACTATCACGTCATATGCTCTCAAGGGCATGGATTTTGAGCGGTTTGACGTGTGTCTACCGCTCAGCCATCTATGCACAGTTGTAGGCGCCCTTTTTTATTGTTGAAGTGAAATCCTACGGATTCAGGAGGGCACGGCATAACGAAATACTTTTTGATACAACTACTCAACTACAAGCCCGGCAACAGAAACATGAACAAAGAGCAATATCGAAAAGACACTCACTAATGCTGTCATGCAGTCAATTAAATATACGATCTACGGTGGTAACTAGGCACTCAGCCCACATTTTCACTCTCTCTCTCGGTGCCTCGTAATTGTTCAAGGTAACGTTACGAAAAGAAAATCATAGTTATCATATGTTCTGATACTTGGGCTAGGTAGGCGCTTAGAGAGATCCAAGGCGGGAGAGAGTAGGCAGCACCACTGACACGTTGAAGTGTTGTTGTGTAGTTAGTAAATAACTAACTTCTGAACATCTTTTCCGGACTCTCTTTAAGGCATCCCCGCAGGGGTTATCTGTCTTGAAAGGAGGCATCCATCTCCTAGCTACTATGGACACACTCTTGCTGTTTGTCTTTGCTGTGTTCGTTTAGTACGCAGGACGCCTATTTGCGTGGTTAGTTAATGACAAGGGAATTAGTTGAGGGTTCTCATGCTCTAAGTCCTGCGCATCGCCTTGCGTTCGCGTTCTTCTGCTCTCGATAACGTGAGGATCAGAATCGGGTTGATCGAAGAAAAGTCTTTCGCTCTGAAACATCCCATGTATTTGAGCAAGAGTCAACCATATATTCAGCTAACTAACTAGTTTCCGGTGGTAGTTAACGTAGTAAATCCATCGGCGCTTATCCTCTCGGTTTTGTCGGCTCTGTACCCCGTGCCAACACTTCTTTCTGTTAGGGATCAGGTGACCCCTATGGGATTGAATTCGTCTTTAGTCCAAGTATAAACTACTGGCGATTGGGCATTTTTACCAGGTGGTTTAACACTTTCCAACACAGGGAGGATGTTGAACCTACCGTCCCAAAATGCGCGGTGAGTTCAACGCGTCAGCTCTTGTCCAGTTGGCTCATCATGGATTACGAAATGTAGTTACCTTGCCTTGCACGTGTGATCCCTCGCAAAAGCCGTTGACTGTAGCTTCAATTGGGCTATCGTTCTGTATCAATACGACGGTGTGAAATGGATCTTTCGATCCACACGTACGACTTTTGGTCTAGATGACGGCAAATGCCTCTATTGCCAGTGAGCTAGCTTCGCTAAAGTACATCAAGCAGAACAGCTCCATTCCCGTTCCAGCGAGTGTTTACTTGTAAAGTTTTATTCTTTCTTAATATTATATATTTTATTATATTATCATTTATATTTAATATATAATTAATTTTATATTTACTTTTTATTATATATATATTTTTATTTTTAAATATTTATATAATATTTTTTTAACTTTAATAATTTTAATATTATTTTTTTTATTTTTTTTATTATTTTTATTTTAATTAATATAAATTTTTTATTTAAATATAAAAAAAATATTTATAATTAAAATTATAGTAATAATTAATTTATATATATATATATATATATATATATATATATATATTATATAATTAATTAATAATTTAAAAGAAAAAAATTAAAATTATATTTAAAAAATAAATAAAAATTTATTAATTTATTAATTATTATAATTAAAACTATAATAATACACATAAATAAATAAATAATTTATTAAAATATTTATTTTAATAATAATTATATAATAATTATCTTATATTTAAATTTAATTAAATATATATTCAGAATAGATAATTTTTTAACAGTTTACTATTGAGCTTTATATGTTTATTTTTTATTAACTAATAAGTTTAGCAATTTATAGTATCATTCTCAGTCAGTTCTGTAACTAAAAAATTTAACTAGTTAACTAACTATTAGTTAGTTATCACTTCCAGTTACATCAGCAGATAAAAAAAATCTAGGAAAGAGAGATTTGAGAACTCATCTTAGAGCCTAATGAAAGAGTTTACTAAAGTCTGTGAGTACAGAATGATTAATGCCACAATTATGAAAAGTTATATCAGGATATATTTGCTGCAAATGAGAAAGAGAAGCTAAAGTGTACGAGATCCAGCCGCTGAATTCAACGCGAGGGAGAACATAACTAGGGACGAAGCTACTGAGCCTGCTCTTCCACCTGCTCAGCTTGTTTGAACAGTATTCAACGTACCCCGCGTCGGCCAGCAGAGCCTTGACCACTTTTATGAGCGTTGCAGAGGTGCAGCAATTGCGGCACGCTTGAGAACAATAGGATAAGGTGTCCGGAACCTAGCGTAGTTTAATTTAATTTACTTAGTGGTTGTTGAGCATAGATATTTCGGGTTAAAATCTAGTTATTAGTTAGAAGAATATGAAATTGGTTGCGCTCGGTGGTGGATTACGTTAACTTAGTTAACTTACTTAGCTAATCTATCTGGGCAGCCCTCGGAGTGGAAAAGACTCAAAATCCATCAACGCCAGTAGTTGCTCCCGACCACACACCCGTGCCCGCCATTCTTTTTTACAAAGCGCATCAGGGTCTGATTCTACCCTCATACACACTCCATACACAAATTGCTATCAAGGTCTGTCTGCTTGGTGCTGCGGGTCTGTTTGCTGTTTGTTGTTGTTCCTACCGCTAGTATTTAGTTGCTGGTGTTGCCAAATAACTTATTCTCCTCACGAGACACACCACCCAATTCCTCCCCCGCCGTGACTTTTAACTCTCCTTCATACTAACTTCACGATTGCCCGTCCAACTAACTCGCGTCTATCCCGTTGTTTCCCAGATATTTACACCCTCTAAATCCACCAAGGCCCATGTTGGGTTTCCCCTCTTCCACCTATTGAGCCCATTTCCCTGTTGCTCCGTTGGACTGGACGAACCCAATTCACTCCTCCCCACCCTCATTAAAACAGCTCTGCGCACCGCTGGATCTGTCGCATAATTTTCTCCCCCCATCGCCGCTCCGTGTTCCGTCCCTTCTCCCATCCAACAGATTTCGCTATGGAAGGCCAAGGCGATAACGACGAGCTCTACCCTATCGCCGTCCTGATCGATGAACTCAAGGTACGCTTTCCGCTTCCTCCCACCATTTAATCGGCTCCAGCCTTGCATGTACATAGCTTACACATAGACAACCTTCTTACGAAATACAGCATGAGGATGTCCTCCTTCGCCTAAACGCCATCCATCGCCTATCCACTATTGCTCTGGCTCTTGGTCCAGAACGAACACGAGACGAATTGGTGCCTTTCCTTGACGGTTTGTCTCTCAGTGTTTATATGCAACTTGACCTGTCCTTGCAATGAAATCCGAACACTGACCAGGTCCACTATTCGCGTCCAGACTCTGTCGAAGATGAAGATGAAGTTTTGACGGCGCTCAGCGAGGAATTAGGGAATTTTGTGGAGTATGTTGGTGGCCCAGAATACGCACATGTTCTACTATCTCCGTTGGAAAATCTGGCCGCGATTGAGGAACCATTGGTGCGAGAAAAGGTAGGTTATATTTGGCCCACCGCAAAATCTAAAAGAAGATGTGTGTCCGCAGTGCACGACTTGCTGACAATATATCCTTCTACAGGCGGTCGAATCACTGAACAAGATTTGCGGTCATCTTTCGCCAAAGCAGATTGAAGATTACTTCATACCCCTCACTGTGCGCCTCTCAAAAGCGGACTGGTTTACCTCGAAAATATCAGCTACTGGCCTCTTCAGCGCTCCGTATTCCCATGCCTCTCCTGCTCTGCAACAAGGGCTTCGACAGCAGTTTGGGCATCTGGTTCACGATGATACTCCAATGGTTAGGCGGCAGGCTGCAAATAACCTTGCGAAGTTCACTAAGGAGATGACTACGCCAATAATCATAGATGAAATAATTCCTCTTTTCCAGTACCTTGCCAATGACGACCAGGATAGCGTGCGACTATTGACAGTGGATATCTTGATATCGATCTGCGAGGAGATTCCGAAAGAGCAACAGTCAAGCCATGGGGTCCTTTTGACTGCACTGCGAAGTTTATTCGAAGACAAAAGCTGGCGCGTTAGGTACATGGTGGCTGATAGGTTTGAAAAAGTAAAACGTACCATGGGTGAGAACTGCGGCCGTGGGCAATTATCATAACTGACTGGTGGCCTTTTCACACAGATCGCAAAAGCTGTTGATGATGAGGTGTTGAATCGCGATCTTGTCCCCGCTTTCGT